AGTCTATGGTAATATCGTTCAACTTTTCATCGCTCACTGGTAACTCTTATTTCGAAGGTAGAAGTTTTCACTGTTTTATCAATAACGCGCATGACTTTCACATCCAACAAAATTCATCAAGTTGACGAAATAGTTCATTGGTGCATGATACATTTTTTGACATATTTTAACTGTGTTAAGCATTCAAACATTTAGGGTAACATGGGGCAGCGAGCCCACTGCAGGTCATGGGCCCACAGCGGGTTTCTCGCTAAGTATGACAGATATTGGTCCGTGTTCTCTACCGCCGGTCGACAGTTTCACTGGGATGAAGTGTACGGATTTACGTTTTGCTAAGAGTTTGCGTTATTGAGTTATTGTGAATAACTGTTTTAGCCCAGATAAAAATTTTTTTGCTGCTAAATAAAACTGTTTTCGATTACTGTAGATGAATCTTTTGAAATTACTGTGAATTCTATTTTGAAAGTAATATTTATAGGGATAATTTTGAGATCAAGTTTAGACTATTAGCTTTTAAAATAAATGTTGACACGATATAAATTGAAATGATACCTAGTGAGGCAACGGGCCCATGCGTGTCACGGGGCAAAGCGCCCATGGTGAAGTCTTGTGCTATACATCATTAGATTTGTCTCAATGACCTTTTCAAAACTATGACAAGCTTTTTGAATTACAAATTACACTTCATAGTGCATGATTTTTTATTTGCCGCCTCAAGGCAGCAGGTTTTGTTTCTATAGTTATGCGTATTTATGACCCCTTATCGAGTTATTGACTCTTGCCTTGCCAAAAGTTGATTTCAGTCAACACCAATGAGCCAAAAGTTGATGAGTTTTTATGGTGTTGGCTGAAATCACGATTAGGTACTAATTCACTACACATAATATCTGGATTATGGACGAAACTGGAATGAAATTTTTTTCTGATCAACTAAATATATTTCTTCTAGTCAAGGATACATTTTTTCATGTCAAGGACGAATTTTTTATCGCAATGATATATTTTTCAAGTAAAGGATATATATTTTTATGTCAATGAAATGTTTTCATCACGTCAGTAATAGATTTTTAAGCCAAGAGTATATTTTTTTCTAAGTTAAGGATATGATTTTTTGAGTTGTTAATAAATGAATGAATGTCATATTTTTCATTACATTTTCTTATTTTTAACTGTAAAATGTTGTTTTATAATTTTTGAACGAAAAATATGCAATTGTGGTAAAGGGACCAAGGGTGGGCGCCTTGCCTCAAGCCCATGGGCCCATTGCCCCAGGGGTGGGGCAACTGATACGGAAGAAAAGAACCAATCCATGGAATATAAGCGCCATACTATCAGAAATTGAATTTTCGTAACACCAGATACCAATAAATTTGTATAATAAAATTTTGCATAAATCATTCATGAATATTGAATAACTCATTGTAAACAGGCTCACATATGTACGGATTTCCCGAGAAAATATAGCGAACCTTCATTCTTCGTATCTCTTCTAGATTTTTTGCTGAGCTTTGGGGAGGTGAGAGTTATACATCTGCTAATGAAAAACCTGGGTGTCGTAGAGGTTACGCGCTCGTATTAAACCGCTTTTATTTTATAAATTAATTCATTCACCAATAAGTCATTCCACACGCCTCACCTTCCGAAGTCATCTTCTCCAACGTTATCTCCGCTTCCACTGCCAGACCCAAGGCTCGCTGCCGTCTCGTTTACACGCAGTTTGGCCGGCAGCGTAGCGCGGACTTCGATAAACCGCGAATGCAACTCTTAATTTTAAACTTTATAAGACGGTTTCCAATCTCATTCTTGATTCTAAAATATCCTGAATATTCTTACTAATATTATATATTGATCCTCCTGCTAATAAGAATTTAAAAGTTCATGAACCATTCGATATCCAATTATAAACCAAATTAAAACAGGGCTCACAATAAAATTTCATTTTCCAATCAAGTGCAGTCATTTTTTGATGGAAGTATGACAAATGACTAGTGCACAGGTGCTGGCAATCTCGTTTTTTTGGTCCACTTGATTTTGTATTCATTCGTGCATGCGACGGCGTTGAGTCCACTGGGGCTGATAATGGTGACAAGTTAAACGAATTTGTAGTGCCGTTCCGCCATCATTCCTTACGAATTAGGTGCTTTTTTCAATATTTTTAGATATGCAAACTCATGGGGAAATATTATTTGAACCATCAAAATTTGTGAATGTGTTTTGAACGCACTGCTGTTCGCTGCGACTGATCTCCTGGAAACGATGCCTTGTATCAGTGATAAGAACCAATTTTGCTGCTGGTGTTGGAATGGTTTTGATTAATGTCATACCGCATTGCAATTATATTTTAAACACTTATTTATTCATGAAAAATTTAATGACTCGGAGTGAGGAGGGAGTGAACTATGAGAGCTGTGATGATGCCTTAAAAATTTTCAGTTATTGATATTTAACAATCGCTCATGTAATTCAGTGAGTGGTGATGCTGGCATCACTGTATTTTATCTTATTTAATCAGCAAATATTTGAATATAAAATAAGACTTTCTGGCTCTGAAACCGTTATCCCCTTATTCAAGAGAGTTAAATAAATACACACAAAAACCCTGAATTTCGTGCAATATAATACTCACATGGAAACGGTAATCGCTGTAATAAAGTACGTATTTATTATCTTAAAGTTCAAGATTATAGTATGTAAAATTATTAATCATGGTCATAAAGTTTTCGGTCGCAGTTATGAAGTTCACGATCGAAGTTATAACGTTTATTATCACAGTTTTTAGGTTCATGATGATATTAATTGAATTTATGATAATAGTTATGTAGTTATTGAGTACGAGTATAAGGGTGTGTTTCAAACCTGGCGCCGCAAATACAATGCGTGTTTTAGAGTAAGTTTGGTTTTGACATAAAAATAAGGCGCTTTATATACAGGGGCTGTTGGAGCGCGTATCCAGGATACTTATCGTGTCGGGATATTTTAGGGGCTGTAGGGACGCGTATCCAAGATACTTATCGTGCCTTTATATTGTTGGGGACTATTCGATAAATAAGCAAACATACTCTCGGTTTCTCCAAACATTTAATAGATAACTAATGATAAACAAATGATGATACGAGAATGCATATGAATAAACAGTGTATTTCCTTAGCACTTCTTCTAACTCTGGACTCGTTTCGGAGCCTTTCTGAAAATGCATGAATAAACAAATTATACGGACACTTTCATAAATCAGAAAATAATGCATAACTGGCAAAAATAAGTTACAGACTGATATAAGTAATTATATTCATAGTCACCTATATAACTATGTAAACATGACTATCGCAAGAATAACTAGACAATACCTGCACGCACGTCTGTGGTGGGATTCGGATACATTGAAGAAATGCGAAGCGCATCTAATCGAGGTCGCATCAAAGGTGCATCAAAACTCTAAACGATAAATTACAGTATCCCATTGCAATCTCTCACAATATTGCATAGAGGGGCTGTTGGGCGCGTATCCAGGATACTTATCGTGCCGATATATTGTATATAGGGGCTGTTGGGGCGAGCATTCAGGATACCTATCGTGTCAGTATAGTATATGTGGGAGCTGGAATTATTGAATACTTATTGTATGCCTATTGTATTGTAATTAGTATATTGTAGTACCCGGACCTGAAAATTCCGCTCATAGTTGGAGAATGGTAAAGAATTTAGAGAAAGGATTGTACCAAAAATTGAAATTTTAAGGACGCAAAATAATTGTTTTCCGTTTCTGCAACGCGAGTATTATAGGAATCCTGTCTTTTATATAAAATTTGAGTTTAAATATGTTTTTATTTAGGTAAAAATTATTGAAACTTAATTATTATTTACGGATTAGGGATAATTGAAAAGTCGGGAATGAAGGAATTGGGATTCTAAAATTGCATGAATTATCAAGAACAGGGACAGCCGATTACCGTTTGTACTTAAGTAATTTCAAAGTCTAAATTTTAATACGGTTGCTCTGCCTGATAACAAATAATTTAAATTCAAACGACGTAAGATTATTTTAAGATATTCCATGGAAACATTATATAGCCGAACATGCAAGTCTTACCAAAGTGTAATTTAAAAAATTGTTCAAAAAATCATCTGAAAATTATTAAAAAGAACTACTTTGTTCCATAACAAAACCTGCATTAAAGATTAGTAGCTACGTACATAATATAACGCTGTGCTGGTGATTTCAGAACCATTGTCACGTGAAAATCGAAGGCATGAAGATTTTTCCGCCTCAGGTATGAACTATACTTTATAATAAGCACGTGCATTCACAAAAACTATTGCTGCCGAATGAAAAGCTTTGGCAAACATTGGAGAGACATCAGAAGAACAGTTTGTACGGGAACTGACTGTTCACTGAGGTCTGTTGTAATTTTAGGAGTCGTGGCTTCCGGTTACACTCGCAGTTTGATTTAGAGACCGGCCGTCTCGCTCAGACAAATTATACTTTGAGCCAGAAATGTGTTTTGCTCGGGACTTTTTTCCTTATCTTTCAAGAGCAGTCATTACTTTTGAGACTGCACCTCCTGAAACGTCAAGCTTTCTGGCAGCTTACGTCACAATAGCACCTATCATACGGGCTTCAAAATTTTGGCCTCTTTGAAATTCAAAGAGGTTTGCTATTTGTATAAGGAGATAGCGATAAAATTTTCTGAAAATATCTGTTAAAGCATAAAATATCGATTAACAGCAATGATAAACAATAATACGTTTAAACATTAAAATACCTCAAATTAGATTGTTTATAACATGTTCAAATATCATGATCTCAAAATGCTAGGCGCTTCCCTTATTTTTTACAACTCGTGTGTGTATTGGCTACGGTCATCCCTAGTATTGAAGGAGAGACGAACCAACCAATTACCGGCAGTGATGAACTGATGGCATAAAGTTACAGGAACATCGGATCAAATAAATTTGTCTCTAATATATAATATTCAAGACCTATTTCTTTTGATATAAAAATACAATACATCTCCGTTAAACATTCCAATATTATTAAAGCGCTCAACCGCCACCACAATTAACGTCGCCACAGTCTACTTAACGAATACATACAAAAGCAGGTGAGTTCTTCAGGGAGTTGCAGGAAACCTCAATTTCTGGCTGACGAGCTGGCTCTTTTCATTATCTGCTTATTTCCTTCAGTGTTCTCCAACATAGACATTCTTTGATTATGCACGACAGCTAAGCGAAGCTTAAGTTTATTTTATTCATATATGTTCACTTAATATAAAATGATCTGGTTATAATTATGGAACTGAATCCCAGGCTATAAGAAAAAGGGAAAGAGGCCCGACAAGAAGTTCATATTGCCGCCACTTCTGTTCTGCACCTGCAGCTGCCTCCTACCATGATACGCATTGCAGGTGCAGGTGAGCTACGTTATATGCTCTTCCTAGTTGTTTCTTTGCACAAATATTCGCTCCAATCCAGCACTGCTCTCACGCTTGCCACATTAGAGGCCAAGCTTACATCTTGTCGACTTTTTTTTCACAGTTATTGTAATAACATTGATTCAGCAGGAAAAATGTGTCATTAAGATATATTTGTTTCAGCTTTTTTCGCATGAAATTCAATTCCGATACTTTAGTTAGCGTTCGTAGTTTCCCTTAGTTTTTACTGATGCTAAGACACATTCGACTGACATATTGGTTGCGTTTCAGACGTGCCATTTCGGAAACGGTTGCCAGCCGAAGGTGCTAAGGGCAGCACTGCAGGCTGCAGCCGCTGCTCTGCCTCGTGCTGCACCTGGTCTTGCAGGCTTTGCAGGTCATTTACCTCACTTTCAAAAACTTATCAAAAACGCGGTCGTACTTTTAGGCCATTGCAGAAAATGAATGCATAGGCATACCATTTTATCACATGCACTTTCCTGAATGCATGGATTCGAGAATGTGGAAGCGTGCAATATTAACTGCTGCTCTCGATGAAATAGTGATCGGGTGAAGCTGTCATCATCCACTCGTGTAATAAAGGAAAATATTTCATTTGCTACATGTAAACATTAATTTATCCAAGCATTAATGTCACTAGATTGCTTGATTCGCAGATTCGCTATAAATGTAAGAGCGAAGAAAATTCTACAAATATTCAGCATAATTCTATTAAAAATGTTTCGGAGTCCAGCTCCATCATCACTTCGATAAATCTAGAACACAAATACAATCAGAAGTTAATAAAGTTTGGATTCAAAAGAAAAAATACAGAAGGTAATAACCTAAATTTACAGGCAAAGGGCAGAGTAATAGAGTAAATACCTGAAATACCTGTCTATTCACAATTTCTAGTGGATAAGAACTAAAGGCCGCATTTAAAGTAGGCTGCTCTTTAAAAATATACAAGGATTCCAAAATACGCAGGTCGGATGCACCAGAACTAGAAGCTAAAACGTTAAAGTCAGTGTCGGACACTGGAACGTTGCACTGTTCGGCGTGAGTGCGCACAGCCGAATGAGGAGGGCGCGATAGTAACTGTCCAGTCCCCAGAGTAAAAGTTGCGTGACGTCATTCCAACGCGCGCAGATGCACATCGTGCACAACTAAATTTATGAACTAGCGACGATCGCATGTGAGAAGGGAAGATATCTTTGTACCTAAAAAACGAACCTATTTTAGATTATTCACCAGTAAAAAAAGAAGATTAATGTACGGAAAGAATTTTACAAACAAACCTTTCAATTTTCTTGACATATCTTCGGACGATTGGCCGAAGCATGGAAGAGATAAGTAAACAACGTTTCTATTATTGCGCATGCAATTATATATTGCGCAATATGTAGATATTGCGCAATATGTATTCCTTGCATTATATATTCCCATATATTCATATTGCGTTTTGCGCAAAATATTCTCGCTTAATGAATTTCCTTCTGGCTTGGTGTTCACCCAAATTAAGAAATTCATGTCTAAGCGATACAGTGAAGTTGTTCCAGAGCCTGATAATAGAAACGTTGTTTACTTTTCTCTTCCATTCTTCGGCCATGCGTCCGAAGCCATGTCAAGAGAATTAAGAGATTTGTTTATGAAATACTCTCCGAACATTAATCTTCATATTTTACTGATTTTACTGGTGAATACATTTAAAAAAGGGTTCGTTTTTAGGTACAAAGATATCCTCTTGATCGTCACTAGTTTAGATGTGCATCTGCGTATGTTGGAATGACGTCACGCAATCGTTACTCTAGGGTCGCTGAGCATATATAGTGGGAGGAGTTATAGGACTGGGCAGTTACTATCGTGCCCTCCTCATTCGGCTGTGCGCACTCACGCCGAACAGTGTAACGTTCCAGTGTCCGACACTAACTTTAAGGTTTTAGCTTCTAGTTCTGGTGCATCCGACCTGCGTATTTTGGAATCCTTGTATATTTTTAAATAGAAGCCTACTTTAAATGCAGCCTTTAGTTCTAATCCACTAGAAATTGTGAATAGACAGGTATTTACTTTATTATTCTGCCCTTTGCTTGTATATTTAGGTTTTTAACTTCTGTATTTTTTTCTTTTGAATCCAAACTTTATTAACTTCTGATTGTATATGTGTTCTTGATTTATCGAACTGACGACGGAGCTAGACTCCGAAGCGTTTTCAATAGATATATATGCTGGAAATTTGTGGAGTTTTCTTCGCTTTTGTATTTTAAGTCAATTCATCCATCTAGTGTCAAAGTTAAGAATAACTCTGTTCTGGGTTGACAGTCATAATCTTGAAGGGATCTGTCTGATCTATTGTAGATAAACCTGAGGGGTTTGGGTTCATTATAATTGTCCGAATAACATATTAAATATTCATTTGCCAGGGGAAGGATAATGACAAGACGTGTATCTAAGCGTAAGTATTAAAGGTAGTTTACGGATACACTTAATAGAAGTTACAGGATGAAAGCATAGTATGTGCAGTATACTTTCGGAGAAGGAATATTACGACACTGCGTGTTAGAATGAGTGCCGGAGTCTAGAGTCAACTGCATGACTGCAGCTGAAGGCTGTCTGCCTAAGACTGAGACTGGTCGTCTACGACTGACTACCCACGACTGACTGGCATTCGGCTCACCGAGCTTATATACGCGGTGACCCACGAATAGTGACGTCACAGAAGGTGACGTAATAGTCGCTGATGACATCACGGCCTGACATCTAGGGATACACATTTTTATTTCGGATGTTTGTGTAATTCCTTCAAAAAATGGTATAGTGACGGCTACATTACTGAGGGTCGGTTACCAGAAGTATTCGAATTGATTTAAAAAATTATTTAATTTTTTTAAATGAGTCCAAAAGCATCAAGCGTCTTCAACTATTCTACAAAACCTAATAAATATGGATCTAAATAATATGGAGCGTACCTTATCTGAAAACTTCTACTTGAACTCGGTCCTCCGCGACGAAATTTATTCGCTTCGAGGATTTCGAATAGATGTTCTTGCCTGAACTGATATTAGGTAGTTTTGATTTACTGTCATACTGGTTAGAATATTTCTCTATTCCCAACAATGTGTTATCCTACATTTCCCACAAGCTACCACGCAAGCAAGGCATGAAAGTATTTGAAAATTTTGGAAGTCTTGAAGATTTTCCTATCCACATCCCAGAACTGGTATGATTTTCAGACATTGTTTTGGCGGTGTTCATGTCAGACGTTCAAGAATTTTGCTGCTGCTACTGCTGTTGGTGGTGTTCTACGCCACTACAGCTCCCTTATATTCAGTAGAACCCTCCAGTACTGCGCCCGTCATAACCAGCGAACAGTCCCTGACAAAGGTGCGGCTTCACATACAAGTCTCATTTCCTTAGTCTTCATAGTATTGGGCCGAGAATAATCGTGAATTATGAATGCAGGTTTTCAGACGATGAGAGTGTTAACAAAAGGGGTCAGAGGGTTCATGTTACGAGTTGGTTTGAATTATTTCTTCACTGCCTTAGTTGAAATTAGGTATTTCGTGACATGATTGTTATATTTAAAGGAACGAGACTCGCATCGCAGCAGTGAGAAGATTTCTCCCCCGCCATCAAGCGAGACTCTCGGTGACGCGTCAGCAAGACTCGAGGGCGGCAAGAACAACAGCGACCGCACCATATACACTCAAATGACTGGCATAAATGACATCAAAATGGGTCACAGCGTAAACAATAGTGGAAGTTCCATAACCGAGGGAGACTTAGATAAAACAAGCAATAACAAGTCGGGCCACGTGGCAGGTGAAGAGCCAAACTTGAGCTCAGTAAGCGGAGAGCCAAACTTGAGCTCATTGAGCGGAGAGCCAAACTTGAGCTCAGTGAGCAGAGAGCCAAACTTGAGCTCAGTGAGCGGAGAGCCAAACTTGAGCTCAGTGAGCGGAGAACCAAACTTGAGCTCAGTGAGCGGAGAGCCAAACTTGAGCTCAGTGAGCGGAGAGCCGAACTTGAGCTCAGTGAGCGGAGAGCCAAACTTGAGCTCAGTGAGCGGAGAGCCAAACTTGAGCTTAGTGAGCGGAGAGCCGAACTTGAGCTCAGTGAGCGGAGAGCCGAACTTGAGCTCAGTGAGCGCAGAGCCGCTGACTTGCCCAACTGTGCCTCCAAACCTTGGTGAGCGCTGGGCTGTCGTAAATTCTTGGCAATCTTAACGTTGTTCACGACTCTTTCACTAATCGTTTTTCTGACAATATTAAAATTTGTTTTATATGGACAAATATGCCTTCTGATCAAATAAATTACGTAAGAGTAGCACTCTGAATATTCATCAATGGATTGTGAAACTGAAAGGAGTTATAATACATCATCACAGTTACAGTGATGATTTTCAGGGTGCATGCAGACAGTGCAGCAATACGCGACAGTTAATAGTGAATCGCACCCAGGTTGTTTGTTATTGTTGGAGTAAACATATTCTTTTGTAACAGTTACTGTGAGCTGTCGTTATCTTCCGTAACTTTTATATTCCTTACCCTAGTTCCCTGTAACATCACCCGCCTCCAGCGTCCAATTCTAGTTTGTGTCTTCGGCCGGAGCAGGTTTTTGCCACTCTTGCTGTGCTGAAGTAAACATCAAGAAAGAAAAGTAAATTGATATTTCTCACTTAATTCTGTCGATATATTGATATGGATTCCAATAGTGACGCTTAAAATGGTATAACGATCTAGAGGCTGTCGCTCGAGAAATTTCGCAAAGGGACGTTTGTAAGAATAATATGAAAAATACTTGTGCAAAACCTGAAAGTTCAAACTTTAATTATGGTACACGGTTGAATTAAATGCAGAAGTAAATGAAGGCGTTTTTAACAGAACATGAAAAAATGAATGACTGTATGATCTGAGTGACCGGATGCTGTTGAAATGTATAAAACCGGTATAAATTCGCGAGTTGGATTTAATTGTTGATGACGTTATTAGGCTTGGAAAATTGATTAGGAGCTTTGGAAGTGTGATGAGCCATTGAATAAATGATTAGAAGATTTTAAGAAATTCTAGGGCAATAAGTGATGGTATATTGACATGAGGCTGCAGCACAAAATAACATAGTTGAAGGTGTCATTAAGCCTTAAACTGCATTACAGGAGGACCAGTCGCTGTAAACACTTCTTCAGCAGACCTTGCGGAGGTAGAGCGGCGTCACCCCGAGCTGCTGCCGGGGGGCCGATGGCGGCCGGAGGAATGCCAGGCACGGCAGAAGGTGGCCATCATCATCCCATACAGGTTATAGAGAGCAGAAGGTGGCCGTCATCATCCCATACAGGTTATAGAGAGCAGAAGGTGGCCATTCCTGTAGTTTACATGTAGCACGAACCTGTAGTTTACATGTAGCACGAACCTGTAGTTTACATGTAGCACGAACCTGTAGTTTACATGTAGCACGATCCTATTTTATACCTAACACTGAACATTTAAATGCACATTTTCTTCTCAGTCTACAGGCAATTCACTTCAAAACATTTTATCCATATGGACCATCTTTTCTTGTATACTTATCGCTACATTATGCTCTCGGGACTTAGGATGGCACGTTTATATGAAATGTATATTTAAGGAAATGAATCGTTCAACCGTGCCATGCTTATGAACATTGGGGCGCTGGAGAGCGTGAAGCTGTGGCCCTGCGAGTGCCTCATCTTCCACGACATCGACCTGCTGCCTGAAGACGACCGCAACTTGTACGCCTGTCGTGAGCAACCTCTGCATCTGAGCGCAGCCTACAACACATTCAACTACAAGTGAGTCTCGAAATATACACCCTGAATTACGAGTGGGGCTCGAAATAAACAGCATGGATTACATGTGAGTATCTCGATCTGAAGCATGAATTACAAGTGCATGAGTACCTTGATCTACAGCATGAATTACATGCGAGTCTCGTCATCTAAGCCATGAATCAGAAGTGAATTAAGAGGCTACAACTTAGTAGGTAGTTATCTGTCTAAGAAGAGTAGTTAGAATAGGCTAAGAAAGTGGAGACTCGAATGATATTACCACTCACGCAATTCATCAGCTGACAAAACTGCTTCTCAAAAACATATTTTTTCTAGGCTACTATACGAAGACTTCTTTGGTGGCGTGAACGCAATCTCAGTGGGACACTTCCAGCGAGTGAACGGCTTCAGCAACAAGTTCTGGGGCTGGGGCGCAGAAGATGATGATTTGGCCAACCGAATTAAATACCACGGGCTGTCCATCTCCCGCAACCCCGCCAACATCTCGCGCTACACTATGATCAGGCACGAGAAGGAGAAACCCAATCCTCACAGGTTTGCACCAACATGTTTACCTAAATGTCAAACAAAATAAATGAATTTCAGCTAGACAGGGCGTCAAAGTTTGAGTGCGATTCGTTTGGGACAATGCCGTGAAATCCACGCTTACATCTTGCATCGGCCAGTTTCTGTCGTCGAGCTCGTGTTGCATGTAAGGGAATCCCTGTAGCTCCGTTGTCTATCAGACAACAGACGCTTATCAGGTGACCCATGAATGGCCAGCAGTATTTAGGAACAAAAACAAGCTCCGGCCGAGCGCTGGTCATCACTTATTATTGTCACTCGCGGTGCGGCCGAAGCTGTTTGAGAAATGCCTGATGTTTCGATCGATTTAGAAAATTAATACGAGAAAATTATTACACGTACAACGCGCTTGCGTAGATAAAATCTATAAATGGTAAGTACTTCACCTACAGTTCCATCTACATGTTCAAAGTTTCTGCAGCGATAGTTTTTTTATGAATTTTCAACATTTTTCCTAATTATACTAATAGTTAATAAATAGCTTCATGAAAACATGATATCGGCATAGATCGGACTTGTACGTGCAATAACAGTGAAGAAACGTTTAGGAATCATCGCAGTGGTCGGCTATTCGCTTAGAAATCTGAGTTTAACCTGGTTCTTCGCATAGGAAACTGTGATATTTTGAGGTCACGTTGATGTCGTAGGCTCTATATTCGATAATAGAATTAAAAAATTAAGACGCCAACAAAACTATTGCTAATCATTACCACTGTTGTAAGTAATTATTATGTTTGAATGTGGCAACTCTCGTTGCGAATCAGTGACATTCCCACGCATCGTTTGTGCTCGAGCCTCAAGTACTCTGGCTCCTCTTGCTCTGGCTCCAGTCGATGCGCCCAGTATTATGTTGCAGCTTAATGCCCAGACACGAAACTCGAAGCGATATCGTACCTCGACCTCCAGGAAATACTATACATATAATAAGGTATCTATTTTCAAATATTCTGTACTCAAAGCAATGCTGCATCTCAGGGTTGAAACGCTGCGCTCGGGCCAGAACAGCTACACCTCAGATGGACTCAATTCGCTGCAGTACCGCGTGCTGGACGTACAGCCGCGCCGACTGTACACCTGGATCTACGTTGAGCTCATGAAAGTATAACGGCTGTCCTCAAATGTTGAGTGGGGCCTTTTTCCTAGTATAACTTCATTTATTTTTTTTAGTTGAGCATTAATTGTAATTTGTTATGAGAACAGGTCAGCTGGACATGTCGCTGTGATGACATAAATTTTGTTTCAATATTACGTCATTAAATTGAAACAAGCGTGTTTTTTTATTCACCTTTCTATGTTTTATGTGTACTATTTATTCGTTAATGGGCAGAATAATATTACCACGAGCAGACAGTCGGCACTAGAATAGTGCATGAGATGAAAATGGCAAACGACGGTTGGAAATACACCCGAAATTAATACAGATTTATTTTGCTCCCTCATTATGATCTTATAATGATCATTCTATACGTGGTGGAATGATCAAGAACGTATAATAACGGATAACAAATGAACGTGTACAAATGTACGTGTATTCGTACATGCCCTGACTGGACACTTGCGCAGAGACTTGGCATGCTTGTACTCAAAGTTCATTTAGGTTTCTGCCCATTGCATGTAATGCAGCGCTTCAAAAGCTTGCTACCACGATTGGCTTGATTTGTTCAGGCAAACCCCTATCAAACTCACAGGATAGGATTTAGTTAAAATTTCGGCCAAGAATTGGTAGTCTTGGTGTTTCGGACGTAACAGTCCCATAGGTGGTCGAAGACATCACAGGAGGCAGTGCCTCCCGCAACCCTGACAGATGACCAGTTAATTATTATAAATGACCAATATATTATTTATTACGAACTTCACCAAGAACTTCACCCCGGCAAGCTGTGTTAAAATCAATGACCGACATTCAATATTCATACTATGAAATTATCGGAGAAAATATCAATAAAATTTAATTAAATTAGGCTGGGTACAAGGGGACAGGCGTTCTTTTACGCTGGGTACATGGGGACAGGCGTTTTTTTACGCTGGGTACATGGGGACAGGCGTTCTTTTACGCTGGGTACATGGGGAAAGGCGTTCTTTTATGCTGGGTACATGATGACAGGCGTTCTTTTATGCTGGGTACATGATGACAGGCGTTCTTTTATGCTGGGTACATGATGACAGGCGTTCTTTTATGCTGGGTACATGATGACAGGCGTTCTTTTATGCTGG